AAACTTTGCTGCTAACATATGAGACTTCAAAAACATTCACAGAGGGGACCAGCAGGTGGTGTGGTGGTTAGGGCACTGGATACTCCCACATGGCTGACCACGGTTCGAGTCCCAGGCTTGCTGTCTCACTTTCCCTCCCTCTCTCTGTGTCTCTCTCTGGTTAAATTAAAATTACATAAATACTTCTTTTTAAAAACTCACAGAAAAATGGAATTAAGGTATTATTTTGATGGAAAAAAAAAAGAGACCTCCACTCAGTTTTCCTGTGGCATGCATTTTCAGTGAACATTTTGAAGACCCTTGGACAGCAGCTGAAGTGACTGTTTCCTATGGCCACTGGCTCACACCGTCCCCACACAGAAGTCACTCCTGTTCAGAAAAGGAGATGAGGAAAGACATTCTCTCACCAGGTACCCTCAAATAAACAATCTGCCAGCCATGTCACCCAGACAGTGGCAAAGTGGTAGAACACGATGCTCGGGGACGCTGACCCACAGAGGTTGCCGCTTCGTGTCCACACACCTCCCTGGGTACACCAGCACGAATGTGCCCATGAGCGGGGCTGGCTGAAGCTGGGAGACACGTGGCCTCAGGACCCTGTCGAAATGCTGTAACTCTCTCTCACTCATAAGTCATTCACGCAAATTAACCACCAGGAAGCACCCATGCAGCCTCTGCCTGAGGCCTGCGCTCTCCGGGTGGCCCTGTGCTTTGCTCATCTCTCTCTCTCTCTCTCTGGCAAAAACCTCTACAGAAAAAAAAAAGAAAGAAAGTAGCGAGAACTGCAAACCTGGCCCTAATGAACAGGGCAGATGCACGTGCTGCTATGAGCACGCACCCTGGAGCGGGCAAGACCAGACAGTGCCGGCCGCACCCCTCTCTGGCAGAGCTGGGCGGAGGAACATCTAACCCCCGGCTCTCCTGGGAGAAGCTCCAGTCCAGGGTTGGCTCACATCTGCGCTGCTCTCATCTGGGTGGATTTTAGCCGGCAGTGGGACACCAGCCAGCTTGCAGAAGGCAGACTGTAACGACCAGCTCTTGTACGCCAGTGCAAGCGGTCCCAGAACACACAGGGCCTGGGCAACCTTACCCCGTGTCAGAACTGCTCGTTTGTAAAATGGGGGTCAGATAGCGCCTGTGCCACAGCAAGGCCGTGAGAGTGGGGTGGAACCGCACAGAGGCACTCAGGAAACAGCTGCCTCGTGGCTAGCACCGGCGAGAGGGAACTCTATGAGTAGGGACAGACGCTGTGAGACAGACAGAGCCTGACAGGTGAGGTGCAGCTGGCCATGTCTGAGAGTAGGTGTGGGCCCAGCTCCAGGTCGAGTGACCCCCAGAGTCCTCTGTGAAAGGCCCCAGCCCCCCTTCTCTGATAAGAGCTTCTTTAGCTCTGCAGTTTGGCCAAACCAACCCTAGAGGGCAGTGCAAGGTGCTGATCTAGAATACATTTATTTATTTATTTATTATTTAAATTTTTTAGGTTTTTGCCATAAGGCACATGTGCTCACCAGAGAGACAGTCAGTGAGAGGGAAGTGAAAAATCACCCTCTGGGGAATGGCCACACCGTAATCCCTTCTTGTCCTGGAATTTGGGGCACACACACACACATGTATCCAGTGTGATTTTTCAAGCCACCAGGTCCAGGATTCGAAGCACAGCCGGCCATGTGGGAATCTAGTACCTTAACCACCACGCTACCTGCTCATTTAAATGGCTGCCCCTTATGAACTAGGACAAAGAGGGGATGCAGAAGACGGAGCCCACTGATTTTCTCAGAGGGTGTGTCTCCCTCCTCTTCTCTCCAGATCTTATTTTTCTGCTCACAAAAGTAACAGAAGCCATTGCTAAGTTTGGAAAATACAGGAAGTATTGAAAAAGAGACAGGCGGGGCCTATGGTCTCGTAGTTATAGGAGTTGAATCCTACGTGGCCAACTGCAGTTCGATTCACAGCCAGGGAAGCTTGAAAAACACACTTGGGGGCCAGCTCATGGAGGCTGGGACAGCTGGATCCCACATGGCTGAATGCACAGTTCGAGTCCTGAACCCAGTGGCTTGAAAATCACACCTGTTGCATGTGTTTGCATGCCCGAAATTACAAGAGGAGACTGGAGAAGGGATTGTGGTGCAGTCAGCCCCGGGTGCCTTCTCACGACCCCTCCCCACCCTGTTTCTTTTACACTAGTACATGCGCCTATAGCAAAACATTAAAAAAAAAAAAGAAGAAGAAGAATGAGAGCACATTATAGGGGCCAGCAGGTGGCATGGCGATTAAGGCACTGGACTCCCACATGGCCAACTAAGCGGTTCCAGTCCCAGACCTGGCAGGTTAAAAATCATGCCGGACAGTGTGTTTATGTGCCAAAAACCCCCAGAGAATGGACGAGAGGGGACGCTGGTGTGGCTATGCCCTCTGGGGGGTGACTTCTCCTTTCCTTCTCTGTGTCTCTCTCCAGCGAGCACATGCGGCCTATGGCAAAAACCGAGGGAAAGAAAAGGAAGGACGCCCTAATACCCGCAGTCATGTCACTGCGCACCATGCTGAGCAAGACGCCAGCCACCAGAGACCAGCGTTGTGTGGCTTCTTTCACACGGAAGTTCAGACAGGGAAACGAAGGGACACGAAGATTCGGGCTGGGCGGCGAGAGGTGCAGCTGAGACACGGGCTGCTGCTTCACTGTGGTGGGGCCTGCATAACTCCGCGAATACTTTTACTGTTGTTTTTTCCATTGTCAGAGAGTACCTGTGTTTACCAGCGAGAGAGACAGAAACAGAGAGGGAGAGAGAAGCCCCCCACACAATGGGGCGCCACCCTGCAGCCCTTTCTCCATCCTGTTAGGATCTGGGGTACACTTGCACATTCGCCTGGCATGTTTTTCAAGTCACCAGCATTGAGATTTGAAGCAAGGTCAGCCATGTGGGATTCAGACTCTAACTGCTGGGGCTGGTCCTAAACTACATATTCTTCTCTTTTCTTTCTTTTTTTTTCTTTTCTTTTTTTCCTAGTTTTGCTATAGGGCACATGTGCTCACCAGAGAGAGACAGAGAGGAAGGGAAGTGGAGGGGATGGCTGCATTACAATCCCTTTTCCATTCTCCTCTTGGGATTTTGGGCGCACACACATATGTACCTGGAGTGTTTTTTTTTAAGTCACTGGGTCCAGGACTCGAACCATGCAGTTGACCATGTGGGACCCAGCCACCTTAACCAGCACACTACCAGCTGACCCAAATCCTATATTTTCAATGTGTGAACTAAACCGTATGTGAATATCTTGATAAAGCCGTTAAGAAATAGTAGGTGGTCGAGACCAGCAGTTAGTGTAATGGCTATGTCGCTGGACTCCCACGTAGTCAACAGCGGT